GGAGAGAGAGAGAGGAGAGAGAGGGAGAGAGGAGAGGAGAGAGAAAAGAGAAGAGAGAGAGAGAGGGAGAGAGAGAGAGAGAGAGAGAGAGAGAGAGAGAGAGAGAGAGAGAGAGAGAGCATGTGCCTTTCCTCAACTATATAAGGCCCTCTCTCTCTCTCCATTCTCCTTGTTTAGTTTCCATTCATTCTCTTTTCTTCTCTTTGGTTTCAGCTCGCGCCGGCGGCCTTCGGCCGCCGTCGCTCGCGGCGCGACCTCCGGCCGCGCGGTTAGGGGATGGCAAGCAACTCCAAAACAACATACCACTCAACGACTGTGTACAACAACAGCCTACGGGACCCTGGCCTTGCTGCTGCAACGCACATGGAGATGTTAGAAACATAAAGGTTCAGTTTATTGATGAAGCAAATGCATTACATAGGAAGAGAGAGATGAGCTAGGAAGGGAGGGTTGGACGGGAAAGGGGGGGTTAGGACCAATCACAACGGAGGGAGGATCCTTCCAAATGTGGTTGACCAGAAGTGGGAGGTGGTCCAAGTGTGGTGGACCACACATGGCTTAAGCAACCCACTTGTGGTGCCCCCACAATTGTGGTCCTTGTGTTTGGGGGCTCCAACCACAATTGGGTTGGATTGACACCCCAACACAGGTGTACACCCAACTAGGGATGTAAACACAATATACACAAATAGTAGCATGGTATATTCGAACACAACCCCATAGCATGCAAAGCTAGTGTATATGAAGGGTACAACCCCAGAATCAGGAAAGGGGGCGGGGCCCATGGCCGAGAAGGCAGAGGAGGGCAGAGTGCGCGGTCTTCGGGAGGGCCTTCGTAAAGATGTCGGCCAAGTTGGCCTCTGCAGCGATCTTGTGCACCACTAAGTGACCTTGCTGGACCAACTCCCGAACGAAGAAGTAGCGGAGTTCAATGAGCTTGGAGCGACAATGGAAGAAATGGTCCTTCGTGAGATGGATGGTGCTGGCGTTGTCACACAAGAGGGTGGGACAGCTTTGAGGATCACTGATCTCAGCAAGGAGGATGAGCCAGCGAGCCTCCTGAGCGGCCATGGTGCAAGCATAGAGCTCAGCCTCGCAGGATCAGAGGGCGATGGAGGAGGAGCGAGTGGAGTGCCAGTTGATGAGGCCGCTGCCATGGGTGAAGCCGTAGCCTTGAGAGGAACGGCGATCCGGCTGGGAGTCAGCCCAGAAGGAGTCACTGAAGCCAGAGGAGGGGAGGAGAAGAGCCTCCCAGGGTGAGGACATAGTCCTTGGTACCACGGAGGTAGGGGGGTACCCGCTTCGCTGCAGCCCAGTGCTCGTCAGTGTGGCGACCGGTACCGACGAAGCGAGCAAGAACGCTGATGGGGAAGGCAAGGTCCGGGCGGGTGCACATCATAGCGTACATCAGCGAACCGACGAGCTCAGCGTAAGGATGGTCAGAGGAGGAGGGAGTAGGAGGAGGGGCAAGCTGGTGGTCGGTTTGCAGGGAGTGGTAACTGGTTTGGCCTGTGCCATGTCGAACCGTTGCAAGACCTGATCAATGTAAAAGGATTGTGAGAGGGTAATGGTGCGCGCTGCACGGTCCCGGCTGATGGTCATGCCCAAATAGTGCTTGAGCTCACCCAGGTCCTTGCACTTGAGGCGTGCATGCAGGGCGTCCTTCATTTGCTGCATGGTGGCAGCATCGTCAGCGAACAAGATCATGCCGTCGACATACACCAAGATGAAGAAGCGGGTGGGAGATGAGCGAAGGAAAAGGCTGGCATCGGACTGAGAGGCACGAAACCCCAGGGATTGCAGAGTGGCGGCCAGCTTGTTGTGCCACTCGCGAGGAGCCTGCTTGAGGCCATAAACTGGGCGGCGCAGCTCCCAGACTGTGTTGGGAGGGAAGGCTGCATGAAAGCCTTGAGGCCGCCGCAAGAGGACCCGCTCCTGGAGCTCGCCTTGCAGGAAGGCGTTGGAGACATCAATGGAGGCAATCTCTATGTCAATGCAAACAACATAGTCGAGGATGGCACGGAGAGTTGGGAGCTTGGCAGTGGGAGAGAATGTCTCCCAATAGTCGATGCCATGGGTCTGGGTGAAGCCCTTGGCACAATACCGGGCCTTGTGGACCGGCTCCTCACCCGGCAGCTGCTTCACTCGGAACACCCACGGGCCTTCAACAATGACGTCGTCAGGAGAGGGGACAATGTCAACGAATGAGGCATTGCGAATGAAGGCCTTGCATTCACCAAAGATAGCCTGGATCCACTTGGCAGCATCGGGGCAGGTGATGGCCTCAAGGAAGTTGGACGGGGTGAATATGGTCGGAGCGGTAGCGATGCCAAGGATGAGGAGGCCAAGGAAGCCCGGGTAGAGAGGCGTGAGGGAAGGTGTTTGTTGCCGAACGCCAATGAGCTCCTCATGGGAGTCCTCAATGAAGAGAAGGGAGGGTGGGGGTGGCGTTGGCCAACCCCATGGATGGCCTATGAGTGGGCCATGAGAGCGAGTGTGGACGCGTGGGAGGATGAACGGAGAGGTGGTGCAGCGATGCTGATAAGGTTGTTGCTGTGGCTGCTGCTGCTGCTGCACCTCCTGTTGCGGCTGTTGTTGCTGCACTGCCTGCGGGTGCTGCTGCTGCCGCTCCACCCGCTGCAACTGCTGCACCTCCTGATGCTGCTGCTGCTCCATCCACTGGTGCTGCTGCTCCCGCTGTTGCTGCTGCTGCTGGTGCTGGTGCGATGAGGCAGAGTGAGCAGGGGAGTCAGGGACAGTTGGGTCATAAATGTCACCTGAGGAAGGAGGAGGGGGAGGAGCAGGATCCGGAGGAAGGAGGGGAGCCTGGGGAAGGAGTGGGGAAATGACAGCATCAGTCCATGTGAGGGGGCAGGAGAGAGTAGGAAGTGGGTCGGAAGGCGGAACAGAATGATAGAACGGGATGCTCTCATCGAACACCACGTCACGGCTCTGTAGGAGGCGCCTTGAGGACGGGTGAAGGAAGAGGTAACCAGGGGCAGAGCGAGCGTGGCCAAGGTAGACACACTCAATGGCCTTGGAGGCGAGCTTTCCTGCTTGCGTAGAGCGGTCGGGTGGGGGGATGAGAACATATGCCTTGCAACCCCAGATACGAAGAATGGCAGCATCTGGCTTGGTGCTGGTCCAGAGCTCTGAGGGAGTGCCAGACTGGCATTGAGGATATGGGTAAGGATTAGTGAGGAGAGCAGCATGGACAAGGGCATAGCCCCAAAAAGAAGGGGGCGTGGAGGCATGACTGAGGAGGCAGCGGGCCGTCTTGGTGATCTCACGAATGCGACTCTCAGCAACACCATTCTGCTGAGGGGAGTGGGGAAGGGTATGAGTCTGCTTGATGCCATGGGTTGAGTAGTAGGAAGAGAGGGTGCGGTTGAGAAACTCACCACCACCGTCGGAATGGAGGCGGAGGATGGGGTGACAAAAGTGGACACGGCACTGCTTGGCCCAGGTAACGATGAGAGCAGGGGCCTCAACCTTCGTGTGGAGAAGGAACACCAAGGAGTACCTGCTGTGGTCGTCGACTAGGACAAGCATGTACCAGTGCCCTTGGGGGGAAGGGGAAGGGTTAGGGCCCCAGAGGTCCATGTGGACGAGGTCAAGGGGGGCAGCAGAAAAGGAAGGATGACAGAGGTGAGGCTATTGTTTGAGCTTTCCATGAATGCATGTGGCGCATGGGGGAGCGGAAGAGGACGGGAGGGGAGGAAGCGTGGGGGAAGACCGTCAAGCAAGCGGGAGGAGACGGCTTTACGAAGTGACGGAAAGTTCATATGACCAAGGCGATGGTGGATGAGAACAGCGGGGTGGGACAGTGCGCGACAAGAGCATGGAGAGGAGGTGGAGTTGGAGGAAGTTAGCTCTAGAGGAAGGGGAGGGGGGAGAGTGGAGGTGCCTGCACGAGTGGTCACGTTGCATGAGGAGGGGCGGGATGTGCTGAGGATGTACTAGCGAGAGCGAGGGCAAAGTGGGAGGCGATGAAGGAGGCGGCGAGTGGGGCCGTGGAGGAGGACATTGTAGGTGGCAGAGGCGAGGAAGAGGGTAGTGATGTCAGCCTATTGGAGTTCACGGATGGAGAGCAGGTTATGACGAATGGAGGGAATGTGGAGACCAGTGACCACTCTGGAGGGGAAGGGGGGGCAGGGGAGGGTGGAGAGATGAGTGCAAAGGACGGAGAAGCTGGAATCAGCACCATGAACGTTGGTGGAGAAAGGGAAGGAGGTGAGGGTGCCAGCGTCCTTGAGGGCAGTTTCCGTGGCACCACTATCGAGAACAAAGTCAATCATGAGCGAGGAGGGAGCTGAAGACACGGGGTACTGGAAATCACTGGCATTAAAAACAGAGGGATACATGGAAGTGGAAGCAGGGGAAGAACGCATGAGCTCGCCTAGAAAGCTGGAGTGGGAGGCGGGAGCACTAGGGAAAGGAGAGCCCCAGAGGGAAAGCCAGGAGGACCTGTTGTGGCTGTGGCAGCCATGGCGGCGGTGCTAAAGCCAAGCTGCTACTGCTGCCATGCAGATGCTGCGGCTGCGACTGCGGCTGCAGCCTGACCACCAGAGCCCCACTGCTGCTGCTGCTGCTAGAAGCGGCAAAACTGCTACAACTTATGGGGTCAGGGACAGAGGAGGAGGAGGAGGAGAGCTCAAGATGAGAGGGGAGGAAAGACGGAAGAGTTTTAACATCCTGGAGAGAGAGGCGGGGATCCATGGCACACCAGCGTGGGGGTGTGCCAGTGTTGCCGCGCTCGAACCAAGCGTCATCATACGCCTTGAAGCAGGTCGTTGGGGGATGGTTGGTTTGGGTGCGGCGCTCACCCGCCCTAGGACCAAAACGGCGAAGATAGGAACATGGGAGGAGAGTGCCAGGGCAGCCACCACGGCTACCAGATGAGCCACCACTGCCTCCACCACCACCACTGCTGCCACCCTCGACCCCGCCACCACCGCCGCCGGCTCCGTTGCCCCCACAACCGCCACCTCCACCCCCTCCCTAAGGGTTGGTGCGGCCGCCACGTGGGCGTTCGCCACGGCGCAGCTGTGTGACTGTAAGCTGGAGGTTTTGGGACTCGGTGGAGTTCAGGCCGGAGGGGGAGGTTAAGAGAAGGCAGGCC